CAGGACATAGGCAATCATGGTCCTCCACAACTTCCTATCACTTGTGGCCCTTATCATTTTTTATCTCTTTGCTAAAGCTGCCAGTTTCCACCACTCATTCACACAAACACACCAAGTATGTGGCTCACTGCTTTCCCCTATTTCTCTTACATTCAATATGCCCCATGAGAGTTAAGTTCTCCAGGTTTTACTTCCTCATTGTGTCCAAGGAATTTCAGCTGTCTTTTCCTGATTCTGAGTATAAGTGTTCTTCCTATTGCCATTTTCTTTAAGACCTCCTTGTTGCTCCGCCCAATGATAACAATGCTGCATCCATGAGCTTTAGACAACTTCAGACTATTATATCTACTACTACTAATACTACTACTTAGATAATAAATTTAAGATGAATAAAAACTAGCCAAGATTAATAAGGAGAATGCTTCATCTTAGAAATTTAGACACATTAATGCTATTATATTCATGACTACTATGACACAAGCAATTAAATTCAATGATAGAAAGGCTTGTCAAAAATTAATAATGACAAAAGTTAATCTAAGAATGACACATTATTATTATTATTATCATCATTATTATTATTCCTACTGCTATTAATATTACTAAGACAACCAAATTATAATGAAAGAAGTCTCATCAAACGTTAATAATGATAATGAAATTTGTATGCTGCCTGTTGATGGATTGATGGATTGATGTGCCAAACTTGACATATTTATAAACCTGCACTTTTAGAAGTCTACTATTCATGCATGCATTGCATAGTGCTGCCACACCTGGTCTGGCACTTCTGCTATGCATCTAGAGATTCTTGGCAGAAATCCTAAGAATCAGCAATGTTATTGGTTTTGAGCTGGCATCTCAGCTTCAATCATTTTTCCACCGCAATAACATAGCTTCCCTGTGCCTTTTCCATAAGTATTTTCAATGTAATTATTCTAATGAATTTTCCTCTTTGGTACGTAGACATTATGAATTTAAATGAAGTTCTAGATTGGCGGCAAGGCTTCATCATTTTAAAGTTGAAATTGCTAGATGTAAGTTCTATGTTAACAGTTTCTTCTGTCACACTTCTCAGTTGAGGAACTCTCTTCCAGTTTCTTGCTTTGCTGACATCTATGATCTTCAAAGATTTAAATGCAAATTTTCAAGGGAAGACTAATTTCTATAGCCTTGGTTGCCAACAAGTCTAGGAGAAAAACAATTTTGAAACGAAAACTGGTTGGTCACAGGGCTGGCAATATCATCCTATCAAAAAATAATTGTTGCTATGGAAACCACAGCAGTAACATCTTAGCCTGGTGAGGCTATGGCTCTAAATACCAGATGAGTCAACAAGTTTAACAATAACAATATAGCATCTCACTCACCATTCTCTTAATGATATTAAACTTTAATTTTGTTTTGTTTTTTAATGATTTTTGCTAACAGCTTCAATTACTGATACTCTATTGGTCTCTTTTTGTTAAAATTTACTTACTCACTAATTATAAAACTACTGTACTATAAAAAAAGACTAATAAACAATAAAATTCTGTAATAATAAAGTGTTTGATTTATAGAATAGTTTGATTTTTAATATTTTTCAGCCAATACAGAGCCACTAAATGTATGATGTCTAATCAAAAATATCGGGTCTGTTACTATGGTAACGGAGCTAAAGTATGCAGAGGAAAGCTGCTTGGTACTGATTGACCTTGAACTCTGTTACAAGTATACATTGAGTTATAACCTTCTTGCACACTGTTTCCATTGTTTATAGCAGCCCTTGGTAGGAAAGTATGTAGAGTGTGGTCACCTCACTACACAAAAGAGATTCCATCAGTGACCATGGCTTGCACATCAGTTTTTGGCCAAATACAACATTCCCCATGACTGACAACCATCATATTCCCTAGATCTAGTTCCTTGTGACTTTTCCCTCTTTCCAAAAATCAAATCCCACTTGAAAGGAACAAGATTTCAAGAAGTTGAGGCAATCCAAGAGAATGCAACAAGGCAGCTGCTTGCTATACCAAAATAGGAGTTCCAGGAATGCTTCCAACACTGTTTAAAAAATAAAAAATGTAGGCTAGATAACAGTTGACCCTAGACTTGAAGCAGTGAAGATTGCAGTGATTGGAGAAGCCTCCTCTCAGGAGTCTTTTTCTACAAAGCAGTGGCTCTTGAGAAGAAGTTGTCTGAATGGAAAGTCCTCCTTACTTTGGAATACAAAGTGACAGGAATACAGGTCTGGTTTAAAATGTCAGTAGTTCCTCTAGGCAATTCAAAGTGCCAAGAGAAAAATCACAGCAGTTTAAATAGTACCTAATGGCCCAATCCACCCTGGGCAGGAGGGGGATACAAGTCTATGCTCCTGCTGCTGCCACTGCTGATAAGAACAGGCCATTAAATTGGGGAGGGGGAGAACTGGTTATACCAATTTCAATAATCAATAATTAACACAAAGGGGATGAGGATAATTTTTCTGAGTGTACATGTCATGGTGACTCTTAACTGTAAATGTCTGAACTGGTGTAACTAAGGAATGTAGCCTATTCAAACATTTTCCATGGAAATAGGGATAGTAGTGAGAGGCTTGCAACATTTTGTCTGTAGGAAAGGGGTTGTAAGGTGGAAAATCATTCATTATTCACAAGGCTTCATAGAAGCTTTTGAAGTCTTTTGAGGCTAGAAAGAGTGTTTTGGGCAACTCCAGTCCAGATATATATGGCAGCAATGCTCCATTTTCGTTGGATTTGATTCATGTAAAGACAAAGAATGGTAGAAAGATTTACATATTTTCTGAAGCAATACAAAGAACCAACTATTTTTGCATCATATTTAACAAGGAATTGTATATATGAGTTCTACATGAGATCTGGGGTGAGCTAACCCAAAAGATGTTCAAAGTAAGAAATTATTCAGCATGACTGGAGACAATTCTGGATCTACTTGGTAACGGTGAAATGTTACTAGCTTGTTACCAGGGATAATACTGTCATTAAGTATCCTTCCACAGCTTTGTATTCTCTATCCCTTTTTACCTACCCAATATACTGAGTTGCGGACTTTACATAAATGGGGCTGGTTACACAATCACATTAGGAAAATCAGCCGCTTAGTAGAAAATTTTAATATGGTCACAGAATACATTAACTTCAAATTTCATTATTCATTTTCAGGAATAATCAGTCATTTGCCCTGGTGAAAAGGTTCCAGCTTAATCTCTAACAAGTTTGATTCTTGCCTCAACTTTGAAATGAAGTAAAAAAAAAATATTTGATCCCCACCTACATCCACACATCATCTTCTCCTCTTAATTGATGTGACTGACTCAATAACAGCTCGTAAATATTTCATCTGAATTTTTGATTAGATATCATTACCCATTACGTCAAATACCTCAGTGTATGGATCAGTTATAACAAATTATAGGAGATAAGGAAATTGAATACAGAAAAGGCTGTGTGGTTGGTAGTTTTGATCAACACCGCAAAATGCTACAAAACGAAAAACATTAACCATGTTCATGTCCTTAGCCTTGTCAGATTGAGATTTTCATATGGATGTCGTGAATGGTGCCAAACCCATTCAGAAATATATATAAACTGTCAGCTGTAAATGACCACTTTCTCAAATAAAATAGATTCCAGAGAATGAAGCCTGTTGGTCTTAATTAAAATCATCTTTCATTAAACCTCATGGACTGCTACTAAAGAATCTCAAAGACCTGCACAAAATAACAGAAACTACATCTCTTGAGAACTTTCAATGGCAGCAACTATTAAAACATGTCACTCAAAAAGAAAATAATGACTTAATCAAGAGGTTGACTGTTGTGTTGTAAATAGGAAATGTTGACACACATATACAAAATAATAAGTAGTTTATTCCAGAGAATAATATGGTACATGGGTGAGAACACAGACTAATGGAATAAACAGTTAATTGTTAACTTCCTCAGTAAGAGAGAGTGCTGTTTAAATAGACTTAGACTGGTCCATCTTTTGGGGGTGTTCAGCTACTCCACAACATTGATGTTTTACACTACTTTAAACAAAAGATCAGGAAGAAAACTGCAACCAATATTGGAAAGAGCAATAACAATTAGTAGGCATGAGAAGCCTATTTTCCTCAAAAATTGCTTTAATAGAAAGTTTAATAGTTTATAAATTTCAACTGAAAGTAACATGTGTAACATGCCAAATGTTTCCATAGGAGAGAGTTACTAATTTCTCCATTACCATCAGCATTTGCTAACCAATTGGCATTGTCTTAGTAAATGTTATCTAACTGGAAATAATGGAATTTTTTAAAATAATATAGCTTTTGAGCAAAATTCAACATTTTAAACTTATTTTTCTAATTCTGTCTGAATTTCTGGGATGAGGAGTTATCATTACTTACACTATCATTTGGTTCTTTATTTAGTACTGGTCAGTTATTGCTTGCTTGTTTCCACTCAGTGCAAGTACACACTGCCTGACTCAGAGACTGAATTTACAATAACTATGTCACCAAATTCACAAACCAACACTTTAACCCCATGAGACAATTTGCTGTAGTAAACTTGAAGCCTGCAAAGTTCTCACCACATCCAAGGAGAGATTCATAAAAAAATCCTATGGTTTAATCATCTGGTAACATTTACCAAGTGGGTCAAACTGAGAAATTATCAGCAACCCTCTTCCTTGTATATAGATAGATGCACATTATTTTCCAAATAGACAAACTAGAATTATGATACATATGCATACATGGATTACACACACAAACACAGCTTAACAGGACAGATGTATGTGAGGTCTGCGTAACCAGTGAAGAACAAACAACACAAAATTAAAAATAGCAAATTTTTCTTTTCTCCTCTATATTTCATTTTCTGATGAAGCTTTAATAAAAGCAAAGCAAGTTAAATTTGTAAATGTTTCATATTTGTTATTTATCATATCATAAATAGATATATATGTATTAAGTGAGATAGATACATACATACATAGTGTGAAATAGCTAGCTAGCTAGATACATACATACATACTGAGTGAGATAGATAGATAATGTACTGAGTGAGATAGATAACGTACTGAGTGAGATAGATAGTTACATACTAAGTGAGATAGATAGATAGATAGATAGATAGATAGATATGTACTGAGTGAGATAGATAGATAACGTACTGAGTGAGATAGATAGTTACATACTAAGTGAGATAGATAGATAGATAGATAGATAGATAGATATGTACTGAGTGAGATAGATAGATAACGTACTGAGTGAGATAGATAGTTACATACTAAGTGAGATAGATAGATAGATAGATAGATAGATAGATAGATAGATAGATAGATAGATAGATAGATAAGAACAGACCGAAATAGATAGAGAGTTAGACATAGATAGGGATAAACATAGATAGATAGATAGATAGATAGATAGATAGATAGATAGATAGATATGTACTGAGTGAGATAGATACTGAGTGAGGTATATAGATACATACTGAGTGACATAGACAGATAATGTACTGAGATAGATAGATAGATAGATAGATAGATAGATAGATAGATAGATAGATAGATAGATAGACAAATAGTTCTGATAGATAGATGAACATAGAGACAGACAGATAAACAGACTGACATATAGATATTGATATATATATAAAAATATAAATCCGTTACTCTACTTTTGTAGCCCTGGCATCGATGACCCAGAAATTGAACAAGTGATCGGCTTTGAGTTGAACTGCGAGATGCTCAGCTCCACTTGAATGCTTGAAGTCTGGAACTCAGACGGCGAAAAAGTCACTTTGATTTCCACATTTCCATTTGCTGGAACAGTTCCTGAAAGATTAGGTTTTAAAAAAAATCTGAAATAAGATTTGACTTTTTCACATGACCATCCATTTATTTGTGGGTGAGTCAGTAAATTGAATACAGACATTGCTTATTCTTGGGACAGTTAAGATGGTGAAAATGTAGATTTGGATTATTAAATTCTGTTCAATCTATCGTAAAGCAACAAGACTAGTGAAGATATCCGCTGAGGATAGAATTCCTTAATATTGGCTTTTGAAAATATCTTTTCTAAATCTATTTTAAAATTTTTAGATAAAACATTTTCATTATTATTATTTTATTAGTAGATTGTCTTTGTCTACTAGGCAGAAAAAGGAAAATTGTGTAGCTAATTGGAGAGAATTTGTTGAAGGAATGAACAATGATAAGAGATAATAATGAAGATTGCATCAACACAAAGAGTTGGAATAAAAAGACACACTAATAAGATAGAATCTAACTAGTAATAAATAATAGCAATAATACTGATTGTACCAACCTGAAATATTGGGATAAGAATCAATGATTATAAGTTGAAGTAAGACTAGTAATAAAATTTCAGTAATGATGTTTGTAATGACCTAAAGTATTGGGATAACAAGCAATGATTATAAGTTGGAGTAAGACTAGTAATAAAATTCTAATAATGTAGATTATATCAATCCATTACGTTAGTATGAAAAACCACAATAATCATAATTAATATAAAACCCAGGTTGTGTGTGTGTGTATGCGTGTCTGTATGTTTATATATTGGATCAGATTTCCTACATTTTTCAACCAATTTCAACAAAACTTCACAGGACTACGTAAAATTAACTTGCGGTGGTTCTGACAGTGCCAAAAATTGGAAAAACACAATTGTTTTTACACAAAATCAATTTGAAAACACAATTAAGAGGCATTGCTTTCATATAATGAAAGGGGGACAACTCATATCGAGTTATACTTATTATAAAAACCAGGTTGTTTGTGTTGTGTGTGTGTGTGTGTGTGTGTGTGTGTGTGTGTGTGTGTGTGTGTGTGTGTGTGTGTGTGTTCATTTATATATGGGATCAGATTTCCTACATTTTTCAACCAAATGCAACAAAACCTCACTTTTTTTTTTTTTGGCAGGTAGTGTTTATTATTGTCTTGCACACTTTTTTCTTTATTTTTACATTCAGAATGCTTTAAAAATTCCATTTACAAGACAATTGTTTATAATAAAAATCTATTCAATCGGTAGACTCATAACGATTGAAAACAATGTTTTTGTTTGAGTTTGGGTTTGACCAATTCGTAAAAAAAAAAAAAAAAAAATAATTAAGACATGCATGTCCGTCAATAATCTTTGTCAATTTTATTTTTCAGTCTTTATGATGGTCGATACTAGATCTATCTCTTACTGTTACATCCTCAGGCAATGCCAGGCTCTACTGCTAGTATGTAATAAACTACTATTTTGTGATTATTTCTCTATAACATGTATTGCAAAAACATTAAAATGATCTGTTTGAAGCTTTTTGAAGTTGTTCCTTTACCTATAATGCCTGCTTCCATTATATCAAAATGTTCCATTTCAGTAACAATGTGGATGTTTACATTATCTTTATATGATTATTAGCATTACATTTTTTCATATTGTAGCTGACCATAATTTTAACTGAACAAATAGTGTTTTAATTTATTTTTAAATATAATTTATTATTGTGAAGATGTATTAAAAGTGCACTATTTTTGGAATCTTTATTGGTAAATTTACATCCAGGATTGTACGATATCTTTCAAAACAAAACTAATGCCAGTACAATGTAGGATATGTAAAAACATAGATACATAGGCTTATTTTTTTGTTAACGCAGAACCAGAATTAATCTCACACAAATTAATGCAGGTCCTGCCTGACAAGGATTTGTCATAATGATATGAGGCCAGATGCTCTTCCTGACATCTAACTCAGGCACTCATGGTTGTACGAGTACACCAATTCTTTTCTAAGAAGATTCCCATTCAAGGATTGGGACCCTATCCAAGCCTTTTATATATATATATATATATATATATATATATATATATATATATATATATAATGTTAGGTTGTAATCATAGGAGAATATTTCTCTTAAAATATTTTAATTCTGGCCAAATATATTATCCAAATATCACTTTCACTTCCCATATCGATTACCCCCCACTCTTTAACCACTTTAACGTCTATTATTACTTAATGAGTTACCCAGCATTCCTCTTTTAAACTTTAAGCTTGCGTTTTTTTTTTAATTTTTTTTACAATAGCCCCCTACCTACACCCTATTTTCTGTATTTACACCGCAATATTATATTTAGCTTATCTTAAATTTGAGCGTGTAATTCAGCGTTCCTCCTATGAGACTCAGTATATTTTTTTAAAATCATAAGTAATAATTAGTGCATGATGAGTTGGTAGAACAACAAAACTCATATATATATATATATATTCATGAATCATTCATACAAAAAACAAATATAGAGGTTAATGATTTAAATGGCGAGAATACATCATCACAAACAATATAAATAAGATACATCATCCCCGAACCTGTATATGAATGATATGATCCCTGTTTACAAATTCCAGTTGCATAAGGTCTTTTTAATTTTTTACAAGCTTTCGTCTGTTCCTACAGACATCATCAGGTATGTAAGTAGATTTTGAACTTGTTTTTACTTCTCAGTAATAAGAGGACAACGAAAATAGAAATGTAATCCAAAAAATTAAATCATTAACCTCTATATTTGTTTTTTGTATGAATGATTCATGAATTTATAAATTATAATTGCACCTTTTAATTGAAATATATATATATACATGTTTCATTAAAGATGACTGAGAAGATACTGCAATTAAGCTTTTTATTTAATTTTTCATTGTGTTATCATAAAAGTGAAAGGAACAAGAAAAGTAACACAACATTCAGAAAAAACTGTGCCTTACAGCAAATAAAAACAGCTGAAAATGATATCCAACATTTAAATAATGAAATCCACAAACATAATGAGACATTAAAAAACACTTTGACCAAACCCGGATATAAGGAAGCAATGCACCACCTCAACCTTAGCATTAATAAACACCAAATTACACACAAATAATTACAAAAAATCTATAAAAACTATACCAAGGAAACATTCTACTACCCAATAGCTGTGATAAATATATAAACCTGTGTAGTCATAAATTAACAGATGACCAAAACGAATTCTTAAATTTAGGGGAAAATTCCCATCTCCAATCTAAATTTGACATCCTTACAAAGAAGACCGAAATTGAAATTCTACACCAATCACTATCCCAACTCAAGGCACGTGGAGACATAGCAGTTCACTCAGACCAAAAGATCTCCTTAAAGCAGAGGGCTGAAAAAAAAACTCTCCTCACAACAACTATAATAATATCCTAATAACAAAACTAAAAATCACTGCAAATTCTAAAAAGTATAAAACCAACCCAAGGTATTTTAGCATGACTCAAAGTTGAAAATGTATTCACAAACATCCTCATTGATTAAACTATTAACATAATCTTTAACTCCATGTACACAAATAATTCCATCCCACCTCCATCCATCAAACCAAATATCCTCAGAAAATTATTACATGCATGCAAAACTAAAGTCCCTTCTATTACCATAATGACAACATCTACACTCAAACTAATGGTGTTAGTATGAGAAATCAGCTCGGCCCATGCTTTTCCAATTACTACATGTCCCACATAGAAAACATATTTAAGCCAGCCACTAAACCCAAAATATATGTCTGCTACATAGATGATATTTTTATTTTAGTGAAAACCAAACCAGAAATAGATAATCTTAAAACCGCATTCAAAAAAAATTTGTCCTTGACTTTACCTATGAACTGAGTCAAAAGAATAAACTCCTATTTCTAGACATTCTTGTAGAATACAATAACAACACTTTCTCCATCTCATTATATAAAAAACAAACTAGGAGAAACTCCTGCCACCTTAATTTTAAGAGTGAATGCTCACTTAGATATAAAATAGCAGTTATAAAAAAATTTCCTAAAGAGAGCACACAAGAATTCATCCTCTCATCTACTTTTCCTTAAAGAACCCAGCAATGCAAAACAGACACTAGTTAACAATGGTTTTCCTAACTACCTCATCGACCACCAGATTAAACTATTTCTTTCTAAAGTAAACAGACAAAAACAATAATATTAACATCTTCTACAAAAGCCAAATACATGTCAACTATAAGCAAGATGAATCTTCACTTAGAAATATCATAAAGAAATACACTCCCCCAGTTGACCTGAACAAGAAAATTAATTATCTATCACAAAAAATTTAAAATAGCTAACCTTAGCATCAAAAATACCAACACACCTACAAAATCAAAACGATGAAGAACCAACATTATTTACAATTTCAAATGCACCTTAAGGAACCATGTTCCTGATTAAACCAAATTCATAAATAATTACATTGGTCACACTACTACATGCCTATCCAGATGACTTATGTTACACCTAACTGACCACAGCTGTATTCGAACAGTTTTAAACACACATAAAAACCTACCAGATTCTAGTAGAAAATACAAGCATAATAACATCATCCACATGTAAAAAAGATTAAAAATAATGAAAGCCCTGATAATAAAAAAGAAAAGCCAACACTCAATAATATTAACTATGAACATGGCCACAATGGCTGACCATGTTCGGAAAATAAACACCCCCTATAACTTTAGATACATACATAACACAACCTATACATTCAATGAAAAATAAAATAAAATCATCCTTG